GGGGGACAGGGCATGGCAGGGCCTGACAACAATGCAAACTTTGATAAATAGTTCTCAATAATCACTTCTCAGCAATTATTTGTTATTATTACAGTTTAACATTATAAAACTAACAAAAATAATATAAAACTCATATTCTGGCGAAATAGCCACATGGCAGCTGAAAAGTGTGTATTCCCTTCCTGTTCCCCCGCCCGTTCGTGCATTCTTTCCAAAAATCGGGACTTTTTTAAAACGCCGCGGGAGGTGGGACAAATTGTTGAAAAGCGGGACGTCTGGTCACCCTAGTTAGGCAGTGTACATAGCCAGAGATAGGAGGAAATACTTTCTGCTGTTATGCACAAAACGTTTCTGTTGACTCAGAGGTGAAGGGGGCTTGCATCTGTGCTAGTTTGACCTGGGCATAAATAAATGGCAGGTGGGATGAAAGAACAAAGTTGTGGGGGCAGCACCTGTGTCTCAGTGAGTAGGGTGCCAGCCCCATATACCGAGGGTGGCTGGTTTGAACCCTGCCCCGACCAAACTGCAGCAAAAAAATAGCCGGGCATTGTGGCGGGTGCCTGTAGTCCCAGCTACTTGGGAGGCTGAGGCCAGAGAATTGCCTAAGCCCAAGAGCTGGAGGTTGCTCTGAGGTGTGACACTACGGCACTCTACGGTGATAAAGTGAGACTCTTTCTCAAAAAAAAAAAAAAAAAAAGAAAGAAAGAAAGAACAAAGTTGTGGTTTTCAAAGGGATATGAAACTGTTCTTTCTCCTAGAGATATGAACCAAAGAAATGTTAGTAAATATATGAATCTTGGTGCTTCTCTTTATTAAACTTCCAAGCTTACTGACTGATTAATAATAAAATACACAAAACATTATACAACTAGTTATGTGGTTTAATTTATAGAGTTTTTCAAATTTCCTGGAAAACGCCATCAATATTGGACAAGAATATATATGTTTAAGAAAATGTTTGCTTTTGAATGTTCTCAGCAGTGGAAATTCTTTGTTCTTAAAAAATGGGTTATATTTTTCTACATAGTTGATTGTTATCCAAAATATACCTGGTGAGTTAGGTGAGTAACTAATTATATCCAGTAAATTCTGGTTTTGCTTCAAAAGAGTATTTAATAGAATTGATTTTCTTTGGGAATTAATATGCTGCTCCTCAAAGACATTTTCCAGAGAGATGAAAACATTAAAAAATATTGTATACAGTAATCAAATTGCTGGAAGAATTATGGGTTCCTGAAAATGGCTGTAAAAAGACGATTTACATTGGAATATATGGTTCAAATGTAAGGTAACCAGAAAGAATGATTCACTATGGTCACATAGGTTTAGAGGTAGGGAAGCTTTTGATAAAAATTAGGATAAATAATGGATTAAGAAAAGACTTTACTTTTTTTCAGCATATATTTTGGAGCATTAGTAATGAAATATACTCATGATTAATTAAAAAAAATTTTGCTTTAAGAAAGGGGAAATTCTGCTTATAATTGAAAAAAAACCTGATGGCTGGTGGATAGCTAAAGATGCCAAAGGAAATGAAGGAATCATTCCCAGAACTTATCTGGAGGTTAGTTTTTGTTGTTTATGCTTTTCTTTTCTTTCAAAATATGTTTTTCATTATTTGTATTTGTCATATACTTTTTAAAATTTTCTCTGTTTAATTATTTTTAACATAAATTTTATTGTGTCTGTTTAAGGTATACAACATGATGTTATGGGATGCTTATACACTGTAAAATGGTTAGTATAGTGAAGCAAGTTAACATAGTCGTCATCTCACATGGCGTTTTTGTATGGCAAGAGCATCTAAACTCTACTCACTTAGCAGAAGTCCTGAATGCAATATAATATTACTAACTATAGTCCTCCTGTTGTGCATTAGACCTCTAGACGTGTTCGTCCTGTGTATCTGCTGCTTTATCCTTTAACCTACATCTCCTCATTTCTTCCCTTTTTCTCCTGAGCCCCTGGTAACCACTATTTTATTTTCTATCTCTGTATATTTGACTTTATTTTACATTCCCCATACAAGTGATATAATGCAATATTTTTCTTTCTGTGTTTGATTTATTTCACTTAGCATGATGTCCTTCAGATTTGCCCATGCTATGGCAAATGGCAGGATCTTCTTTTTTATAGCTGATAACATCCCATTGTATACACACACACACACATATATATATCCCATAGTCTATTTATTCATACAGACACTTGGGTTGTTTTCTTTACATATTTTTGCAATTGTGAATAATGCTGCAATGAACAGGGGAGTGTAGACATCTTTATGAGGTGGTGATGGTTTTGTTTACTTCAGTTATATACCCAGAAAAGGGATTTCTTGGTAACATGGTAGTTCTATCTTTAATTTCTCTAGTAACTTTCATGTTGTTTTCCATGATGGCGGTATCTTATAATATATTTTGTATAAAGTTTTCTATAGTCTTTGATCAATTGACTAGTGATTGATTTGAGATATAGAATTTGCTTTAATTTTAGAGGGACAAGGTGTGGGAAAAGCATTGTGTATTAATGGTACTGGGGACCTGTGAAGTACTCGTATGACAAGAGGTTCTCTCACAGTAAGGGTGCTTTGTGGGTTAATGCTGGTCATAATGATTAGTAGGTGTCTACTGTTCATTGTGAAATCTAACCACAGTTAACTTTATGTTAGCTTCCACGTATATATAATTCCCTTACTAAAATGTGAACATGCTATACATGCCTGTTTATAACCTGTTTTTTCTTATTTCATGCCATACTATGGCCATTTTCTTTGCCAAGAAATGTAGATATGTGTCTGGCTTGGCACTGTGCATCAGGAATATAATGCAAGCAACACATGCAATTTAAATTTTCCAGTAACCACACTGACATGTCTTTTTTCTGATACTACTTCTGACACCAAGTTTGTGGTTTTTCTCTAACACCAGATATGTGTCATTTTCTATATCAGTTCTCTAACACCAACCAGGTATACAGTCGTTCAGTTCAATTCTGGTACTAACTCCTGGAGTTGACACAGACCCTACAAGTTAAGGGTGCAGTCTCACAAGGCTGCTCTACTTCAGACACCAGTCACAAATGCCACCAGTACTTCTGACTGGCTATAAATTCAGAAGTTCTCATAGCCCCTCCTCAGGGGTTCAGTAGGGTGGGTCATAGAACTCAGGAAAACATCACTTGCATTTACCAATTTATTATAAAGGATACCACCACTCAGGGACAGCCAAATGGAGGAGATACCTACGGCGAGGTATTGGTGGGGAGTGGCTTGTGTGCTCTTGCTGGGCATGCTAGTCTCCCAACACCTCAATGTGTTTACCAACCTAGAAGTTCTCCAAACCCTGTCAGAGGGGGGGTTTTGTTCATTTCATTAACTAAATCATTGGCCATTAGTGGTTAACTTGATCTCCAGCTCCTCACCCATCCCCAAAGATTGGAAAGTGGAGCTGATAATTCCAACCTCTAATCACAAAAGGTTGATGGTGGCTCGGCGCCTATAGCTCAACCGGCTAAGGCGCCAGCCACG